TTGATTTTATTTATGATTCTTGTATTAATCCTGTTAATTGAAGCTCAGAATTTACTCAAGAATACTTATACCTGAGTTTCAAACCTATTTTGATACAAACAATACTAGAATCAATATAGAACCAAAAACACTTTTACATTTGGTTTTGCATTTAGTCCAACGTGATGAGTCAGTAGAAGTAAATATCGCATAATAAAAAGACAAATGTTATTACGTATGTAAGTCATTGGATGAAAAATTACTATTTTTGAAAAATGTTTTACATTCGTATATAAAATAAAAAACTGACAATACTTCAAATTCTCGTAACTTTGTTAAAAAAAAAAATCGTAGAGCAAATTTTCGACGAAAAATACTATCTGAAAAATACATACAACACTGTTTGAAAATTATGAATCACGTGCGTTTGTTTACCTTTCCTGATTCATCTCGTTGCAGGATAGGATCGACACAGAAAACAAAGTCCTAGAACTAATAAATGTAGACTCAAAAGAAAAGATCTTAAAACCAATATCAGGATTGGTACAGAGACCATAAATATTCAAACACCAAATTGTTACGATGTCATAAACAAAAAGAATCTGCTTGGACTCGTTTTAAAGCATAAAGCCTCTATCTTTACAATCCTGGATTCATTTTTTCCAAAATGATGCATTTTCGTCATATAGCAAGTGGAAAAATATTTATTTTCGAATATGGAATACTGTCGATTGATGTGTAGAAATTAAAATTAATTAATGATTGAAAATATTAATGGGAGGAAAGGGAGAGAGGATTATTCAATCTTAATTGAAGATCATATAGTATAAAGTAGTATAGTACGGCATGAAGCATTGTTTTTTCTTTGCCCCTTTGCCATTCCGTGAGCCTTCTTTGTAACGCATGATATTGAAAGTTTATGGTCAATTTAAAAGAAAACTAAGAGCTTCTATATATAATGAGTATATATAAAGAGACAAGTTAATGTACTCAAGGAGACGAACCGAATAACATCATTTGTCACGATCGGATTTGTTAGGAATATTGAAGATTTTTGAAGATTTAGTATTCGAATATTATTTATGAGAATAACTGTATTTTGACGAGAGTAATTGTATTTTCGTAATTGTTTCGAAAACCAAAATCGATATCATAACTGTACTTGGTTTAAACATGTACACTAACCTCTATTATGTCTGGAAATACGAACGAATGGATAGTGTCGAATTTTTTGTAATCTCTTATTGTTAAATTTGTCTGGTATGCAGTTGCGAAAAATCTTCCATCCCTCGAGAAATCACACAATTGGTTATTTACTCGTATTAAATCGTTTTCTACCTCCAACGACATTATGCCGCTATTTAATCGGAAAATTCAATTTTGAAAATCCAGTTTTGCCAACCTGAGTAATCGCAATACAATCTATAAAAAAATCAATATCGATCTATTTAAATCAATTTAATGAAAAAAAGAAAACGAAATGAATTAATCATAAGGATCTAAATGATTTATTATTAATGCTCAATATTTTCCAATTACACATGGAACGAATAAATATGTAAAAATGGATCTGCGTTTGATATGTTGGTTGTAGTGAATTTCAAAATGACAGTTACAAACATTTGTGAAATTGTTGTGTATTTAGTGTTTGATTACAAACATTGTTGCAATTCGTGTTTATATAAAGTACCAAGTGAACCATTAAATTTTCAAACTTGTAAATGAAATGTTGACTTTCTGAAAAAATTGTGAATTATCGGTTAAGATGATCAAAGATTTTGTTATTCCTGTAAATAAAGATGAACTTTTGCAAAGCCGGAGCGGACAATATATTGTTAAAAAAATCATTCCAATACGGTTATTACCGCAAGCTCTTGATGGTATTTTATGAATTTCATATACTTTTATAGATCATTTTCCATATTTGTTACAGTAATTTCAATTTTATTTATAGAAACTCGATCAGCACTGCAAGCAAATGGGGCCAATTTTATTTTTGAGCATTTTGATACATTTTTCTCTGTAGTTGTTCATGAAAATAAAGTTGAATTAACAATTGTTCAACGTGCTTTTACTAGAATTCAGAAAGGTAACAAATATTATTTTGATTGAGTCAAAAATTTTAACCTTCCAGGGATGATGTCTACATACTCTTGTGCAATCTTTAGAAGTTATTTTAACAACTAAATTTCATAATTATATATAAATGATGATTTATCATTTTACCATTAAAATTACTATTAAATTTATCCAATGACTAATTATATAATTTAAATTATAAAAAAGTTTAAATCATCAACCTTCAATTATTTTGTAAAGGTTTTGAAATGTTGGTCCTTAACATGGAAAGTATATTTGAGAAAGGAAATGAATTGGAAGAAGAACATAGATTGACCTTGTTAAATATAAATAAAATGCTTGCATATTTATTTTCTTGGTTTATCTGCTACATAGATGATGAGATTTTTAAAGATGATAAGTTTTTGGGCAAGGTATGATATCTATAATTTAATTATATTAATTATATTAATGTTGCTTTTTTATATATTACATATTTCCATATATTAGCGCAAAAAGTCTACAAAGTCAGACATGGAGGAAGAATGGGAATCTAATAGAGAGAAAGCTTTAGAGTACATTTATCGATTGTTACAACTTCCATTATCAAAACTTTGGCAGCCTCCTATTGTAGAAGATTCCTTTATCATGTATGTTTATAGTTAAGTATTTGTATATATTAACTGTAATTTGAAAAATTATTTTAATATGTGAAATGTATAAATGATCTTTTTAGATTATTTACCAAAGTGTGCTATAAAATTTTAGAACAATGTAAAGATGCAAAACAGAAACATACAAGACTAACTATTTTTCAGGTAAAATTTTATATAGTTCATTCAACTGTTTTTTTAAAATTTGTTTTGAATTACTTTAATATTAAATTAAAAAAAAAAAAAATAGATTTTAGGCACTGCGGTCAAAAAGTACAACCATGGTATAAGTTGTGTGATAAGAATTATTCAGGTATATACACTATAATAATTACAAGCTTGTTCTAATATAAAAGTATATTAATGATTTAATTTCAATATTCTAGTTAGTGAAATTACATGATACATTAGCATCTCATATGGCTGTTGGAGTTATTCATATGATTAATAATTATGGTTGTAATGGTTTAATAAGAGAAATAATGAAAGAGATTGATCAAAGTGAATTATCTGAACTTGACAATCGTAATATATCGACATTTTTAGAGACTATTGCTGCTTCTGGCCCAAATCTCATAATTCCTATTCTTGATGATGTGATGGATTATTTAGCTAGTGAGGTAGCTTATTCTACTATATTAATTCATCTATAAAAATATTTATCTGTTTACTTATTACTATTATTTTTAGCATTATATTATGAGAAATTGTACTATTTGCATTATACGTGAAGTTGTACAAAAAGCATTAACTGGAGATGATCTCACACAAAAACAAAAAGATCAACGTGATGAATGCCTTAATAACTTAGAGGAACATATTCTTGATAACAATGCTTATGTTAGATCAAAAGTTTTACAAGTTTGGCAACATTTATGTTGTGAAGGTGCTATTCCATTAGCAAGACAAGGAAAACTTTTAGCTGCTGCTGCATTACGTTTAGAAGATAAAAGTGCAAGTGTACGAAAACAAGCATTACAATTAATACGTGCTTTACTACAAAGTAATCCATTTGCAGCAAAAGTAAGTGGAAAAAATTACATTTGTTTATATAATTGTTTTGCATCGACAGTATAATTATATACAATATAATTATATAAATATTATAACATATTTGCAGTTAAACAAAGTAGAAATTTCTAAATCATTAGAAAAGGAAGAAATAAAACTAAGAAAATTACAAACTCAAAGTGTTAATAAAAGTACTCGTGGTGATAAACAGAGATTGGAATTATGGAATACTTTTCTTCCAGAAATAAGAAAGGCATTAAAAGAAATTATTAATAATGGAAAGAAAAATAATAAAAAACAAGGTATATATAAATATTTTAACATAACATATATATCTAATCTAAATGTGCATTTTTGTTTTATAAATTAGATGATGAAGATGAAGGTGAAGATGAAAAAGAAGAAGAAGAAAATGAAGAAAATATTAGTACTGATACAGCATTTGAACATGTAAGACAATTAATGCTTAAAGGAAAAATTCTTGAAGCAGTAACATATATGTGGAAAATTTGTCTGCACTTGAAACAAAATTCGAATATAGAAGATCTTTCTCCTGAAGCAAAAGAAGAATGTCTATTTTTACTTTTATTAAAAACATTTATGGAATCCGAAAGTAATCCAATTGACGGAAATGAGAATGCAGATACACAACATTCAGAAAATAAGAATAAAGAAAATGATGAAATATTAGCACTAAAACGAGTTGTAAATTATTTAAAAGTATGTTTCAGATATATTATATTGATCATAGTAAATTATTTGTTTGAATGTATATTATATTATAATATATTTTTCAGAATTGTTTGGAATTTGCAAATGAATTAGAGATTGCTATATCTATGACGGAGAAATTACTTTTTTCTACCGTAGCAACCGATGCTATCGAGGCATGTACTTTACTTGGAGTTGCTCACCAATTTGGTGTAGCTGGAGCTGCAACCGCTATTCGCGATGCTTTATTTCAAATGTTTCATCGTGATCAGTCAGTCCGCAACAATATAGCATTAGTATATAAAGATCTTTATTTAAATAATCGCGAAAATCAAAAATCAAAACGACAAAAGGCTCTTACATGTGTTAAATCATTGATTGATTTAGTAAAAGGACTTCAACCAGGTCAAAGTCAAGCTTTAACTCAACTTATTTTAACATGGTATAATAATAAAGATATAGACAATGAAATATTACAGGTAATATAAATATAATATTGTTTTTAAGTTTAAATCTTATGTGATAAGAAAGTTATATGTAATTGTGATTTATTTAATAGGTTTTGTGGGAGATATTTTCAATGAAATTATCAGATACAGATACATTAGATAGTAGATCTGCTTTAATGCTAATAACAATGATAGCTCAAGCTCAAAATGGTATTATAATTAGTAATTTAGAAGTGTTAATAAAAGTAGGACTTGGATCACGAGCAAAAAGTGATCTTTTACTAGCTAGAGATACATGTAGAGCATTGTTAACTATAAAACATACGAGTGATGATATAGAAAAAGCACCTGTCAGGTACGCAAAATTATAAAAGTTAAATAATTGTTCAAATATATTTAATAATTGTAAAAATTATTATATTGTTAATAGGTATCCTAATGATCATGAAATGTTTAAAGAAATTCTTCCCTTATTAATAGAAAATTTTGCAAATGTAGAAGAAGATGGTTATATTTCATTTGCAACTGATGCAATTGGTGCAATTTATCATGTAGGTATTGCAGTATACAATCTAAATTTACATTTAAATTTAGTATATATTCCACAACTTATCTAAATTTTATATTTAAACTTCATTAAAACTATATTTCAAAATTTTAGTTAGCAAATCAACCTGATCATTTAATGAAAGAATTATTATTGCAAATATATATTCGGGGAAAATTTAATAATGATTCATCCGAACATACTGTTCCATCCTTTTTATTATCTAAATTATTGTATTTAATTGGCCATATTGCAATTAAACAAATGGTACATTTAGACACATCAGTGTACAAGGAATTAAAACGAAGAGATGCTATACGAAAATTAAAAAAAGACAAAAATTCAAATAGAAAAAGTAGAAATTTAAATAGTTCTCAGAAATTAACTACTCCAAATAGTGCAAGACAAATAATTCGCAATAAAGAGGTATGTAATATATTATAAATTAATGTTTAATTAAAATTTGTACAATTATTAATTTTTGTTCTTAGACAAGTATTATTGAAGATAACGGAGAGGAAGCTGTGGAAGGAGCAGCAGAAGATGCAGATGCAGAGTTTATAAATGATATTCTAGAAAATCATATTGTAACTGGGGATGGACTCTTAGTAAAATTTATGTATGCTATGAATTTAATATATTTTCTCGTTTAAAATTGTTTTTAAATATGAGTAAATATTTATATTTAATTTTTTACAGCCCATTAGTACTAGATGTATGTCAGTATCATGACAAATATAACAATGAAGATATACAAGCTGCTGGAGCTCTTGCTCTCAGCAAAATGATGACAGTAAGTTCCACTTTTTGTGAAAATTCATTACAGCTTTTAATTACAATATTAGAACGTTCACCATATCCTAATATTCGGGCTAATGTTCTTATTGGAATAAGTGATCTTACAACAAGGTTTCCAAATCAAATTGAACCATGGATGAAACATGTTTATGGCAGGTATTTAAAAGCGTAATTTAATTAATTTCATGCATATCAGTCTAAAGCATGGTTAATTTGCAGACTTCGCGATGAAGATACAAATGTAAGAAGTACTTGCATTCGAGTTTTATCAAATCTTATAATGAGAGAAATGGTACGTGTGAGAGGTCAAATATCAGAACTAGCTCTTTGTATAATTGACAAAGATCCTCAAATTCGGCAAGATACGAAGCAATTTTTCAAAGCACTTTCACAAAAAGGCAATGCTTTGTACAATGTGATGCCTGATATATTATCTCGATTAACTGATCCTGATTTAGATATAAATGAATCAGATTTTCAGGAAATTCTGAAGTACGTACATTATCGAAGTGAAAACAAATACAATAGTTAATCCTATTTATTTATTATTCAAAATATTTCTAGGTATATTTTAAATTTATTACAAAAAGAAAAACAAGTTGATGCCATTATTGATAAAATTTGTGCTAGATTTCAATTGGCTACGACAGAAAGGCAATGGCGTGACTTTTCATATTGTCTTTCACTTTTACAGTTTAGCACAAAAAGTATAAATAAAAACACATGTTTTTCAATAGTTAAAATTATTTTTAAAGTTTTATGATATATCTTGTTTTAAAATTAATAAAATTTTATTTAGGTATATATCGTCTTATCGAAAGTTTACCCTTATTGAAAGAGAAAATTCATCACAAACAAGTTTTAAAAGCATTATATTCTGTTATCGAACAAACAAAGAAAAAACCAAATACAAAAGCAGCATGTATGGAATTGGAAGAAAAAATAAAAGAACTTCTTAATAAAACAGAGAATTCGAAGCAAGATGATGAAATAATGCCACCGCCGCCAGCACCAAAATCAAGAAAGCGTAGACACAGAAAACATAGTAATAGCGAAGAAGAGGAAGATGATATTGATAATGATTTTGATTCAGTACCTGTAGCAAAAGGTATATTTCTTTTTATATATTTTAAATAATTACTTTTAGTTATGTATTTATCGATATATAATTATTTTAGCAAAGAGTACTAAAAAAGCAAAATCTCCTGAACATAAATCGAATTCTGATTCAGATTCAGATACTGATGTACTAATGAAAACTCCTAGTAGAAGACAGCGTATGTATTATTTTCCAACATGAATAATTCTTTTATTATATCTATACTATAAATTTTCTTATGCATTTATGAAGTATTTAATTAAGTTTAATTTTTTAAATTACATGTAATATAAAAATATAAATGTGCATAAATATCTACTAGTCTAATTATATATAATAATTTTTTTTTTCATATTAGATATGGCAAATATATCTACAAGTGCAACAAGATCAAATCGGAAGAAACGTACCAATTCAGTTCCCGTTACCCCATCACCATTGACGAAAAAAAATAAACCAGTTCCACAGAGATCTTCATTACGTTTATCTCAATTACGAGAAAAATGATAAAATCTATATATATATTTCTACTTTTGTATTTTTTGGTATAGTAAATTAAGAGTAAAAAATAAAACAAAAGTAAAATAAAATTTCATTTAATTATTTTCTTATTTTAAATATTTCTTGACAATATCAAATGAAATTTATAAATTAATTTTTTCCATAAAAATCTTTGTATTTTTATCTTCTTTAATTTCTTTATTTCATTCTTTCATTTTAATCTCTTCTTTTTTTAGGAAATATTATAAAAAATGGAGCAACTAGTTTTACAAAATATAAAATATTATTATAGAAATATTTATTTTAATGAAAATTATGAACACTTGATGTAATATTTAGATAATTGATAATAATATTACGTATAATATACATATCACAACAAAAGGATTGAAAATAAAGGTATATATCAAATGCAGTTTCGAAATAGCTTCGAAAGTTTTATACATTTGTGGCTACATGGATTTTCCAGTAATAAGTAAAACACTGTGGCTACATGGATTTTCCAGTAATAAGTAAAACACTGTATTTTATTATGCATTTGTGTACAATAGAGATATTGTATGATATTGTACGTCGTGAGAAAGACTAGCGTAAAAATCTTATATATTAACATAGTTTCGACATATATGTCACTAATATTAGAAAGAGATTTCCATTTAGCCATCGTTATACCAAATCACGACTAATACTACGTTTAAATGTCATAGAACGTACTTCTGTTCCAGGCTTTCCTGATTTACAAAGATTATTAGAATTCGGGTTTGGAGTAGGACTTTGTGAAAGCGATGCTCTTTCATCGTTAGTATTAGATTTTTCTCGTTCTAATCTTTGTTTGCTAAATTTTCCCATTCCAGGCCGATAAATTTCCATAGTAGGACGATCCTATTATTTTACAACAAAGAAAATTTTTTATAAATTATAAAAGTCGAATAAAAGAATATTTTAAATATTTTAATTAAAACAAATATATACTTTGTTCCTGATTCGACGTTCTAGTCGTGGATCCTTTTTATCTTTCTCTTTATCTTCATTTTCAGTCTTCTGTAGGTTATTTTGATCTCCTCCATCTAAAGACTTGTGCCTTCTTAAACAATTTCCATCTCCTGTACCACCTTCTCCTCCACTTTCAAGTGAACTACGCCTTTTTGTAACTTTTGAATCTTTCTTTTCTTCAGATTCATCATCTTCATTAGTTTTTTTATTAATATCTTCAATGGATTTTGATTTTTCAATGTCTTTACTGTTTTCAACAACCGTTTCTATAAATAATAACATATTAATAGTTTAGAAGCAAGATATTTTCCAACATATTAATAGTTTAGGAGCAAGATATTTCCCACATAATTCATACCTGTTCTTCTTAGTCCTGTCACAAAATCCTGCAAAGGATCTATTAATATCTTTTTTTCATTAGTTTCTTGTTTCTCTTTTCCTTTATTGTTTTTAGCATCTTTATCACCCATGGTTTCTTCGTTTTCTTTAATATTCGCATAAAAATCAACTTCAGATTCTTTTTTTAGGAATTCTTCATCTTCGTTTCTTAATTTTGCACCATTTTCCATATCAACACTAAATTCTACATTTTGTTTTTTAGTTTCTGCAAGCCTTTTTTTTTCTTGTCTCATTTTCTCGTAACTTTTACCTCTTTTTTCCTCAATTTTTCGTTCCCTAGAATCTTTAATATCTTCTTTAAAATCATATTTTCTATCATCTTTTCCATCAAATCTTCTATCATTTATACCATCTCTTTCGTCACGTCTTCCGTATATCTTTTTATCCTCGTGCCGTCTTTGATGTTTTATGTCTCTATCTTTATTTCTATCCTCAATTCTTTCCCTATATCCTTTTGTTATTGATTTGGAATCACGAGGAATCTTATCACGTAATTTATCCTCTTTCTTAATACGATTTTTGATGTCTTTGGGTGAAAGTTTATCCCTTTCCTCTCTATTTTCTTTATTATCTCTACACATTTCTTTATCAAGATCTGGATTTTTCAATACCTATAACAAAGTTAAATATTTATTCTTAAATAGAACGTTTTTACCAGTTTTAGTATTAGCAAATTTTAATAAATTTAAGTTCAACATGATAAATAAAATAATAAATTACAATAAAGTAACACAGAATTTTCACTTTCTTTTTCTAAAAAACAATTTCTTTTACAAAATTTAATGTATACACAAATTAAACAGGAATAAATTAATTATATCTTAATAAATGTATACAAATTTGGAATACAATATTAAACAGAAACAATATATGGCATTCCATCACATCGCGTAAGTGGCTCAATCTTCATGGCTTTTTAACATGCAGTAAATAAATACGTAACATAAATTTCCCTGCTAATCATTCGCAGTTCGTATTTCACGGAGCTTTATGATATCCTGATAATCCTGTTTTACAAGTTTTAAAAGGATAAACTTTATGATAGTCGAACACAGCACTACAACTTCGTGACTTTGACACTTCCATTGGTATTTGCATTTTCCAAGTTTTGTGTAGATTAGTAAATTGAGATTTCGATAAAACAGAAAAATAGTGTTTATTATTAATATATGTGCATTTAGTGTTATTATAAATATAATTGTTTCTAATATTACTCCAATGATTGTAATTATTTCTGCAACTAGCATTTTTTTCTTTATAACTCTTTTCGCAAATATAAAATAATTTTCGTTGTTTGTTAGTGTAATGCCAGCGTTCGTAAGGTACACTCCTAATACAATTTATATATACTTCTGTATTTTCGTTTTTATAAAATTGTTGTTGCATATTTAATGAATTTTTGTTAGCTTGTATCATATTTGCAGTAGCACTGCTGGAAATCTCTTCTTTACATTTACGAGGTACATTAAGACTTTCAACAGGACGATCAAAAGATATATCTTCTGACTTGATAGGTGGAGAAGTAGAAAGGAAGAAATACTTGGTCTGACTATCTTCAATATTACATGCAGACTGTAGGTTGAAAAGATTAGTATCAACAAATACAGTAGAGAATCCAATACTTAGAATTTAAGTTTAATATATTACTAAAAGTAATTTTTATTATGTATCTGATTAATGGTCTTTTTATTCTATACTGTATTTGTCATGTTTAAAATTAGTTTACTTTTAATAAATCAATAATAACAAATAATTATTATATGTAAATACATGTTAGATATAATATCACCTTAGATATAATAGGATCTTCCTTTGATCTTCTCCTTTCTAGATCTCTTCGCCGTCTTTCTTCACGTTTCTCATCTCTGAGACGTTGTTTCTCTTGTTTACGTTGTTTTACATATTCTAAGAGAGGTGTGGTTGTAACTTTTTTTGGTGTATCTATAACAAATATAATAAAACAAACATAAGTATATATTTCATATACAAGTAAGCAAGTAATATTTTTTAAAAAATAACTTACTATCAGGTGGTTGATATGAGTATTCTGTTTTTGGCTGTGATACATTAGATTCAGCTTCTTGGTTTTTCAGACTTTCTAAGAAACTTACGTAATATGGATCAGACTCTATTGTACCACATTTCAAATCTTTTTTCTTCCCTATCTTTCTCTTTGGTAACCTTTGAAAAGGTGCAAATTCTACTACTGCTGGGTACTCTGTACCTTTAGAGTCAACAAATACGTAATTGTCAAATTTCTCTCTGAACATAAAGATATCTTGTTGCTCAACAAAGTTAATATAAGCACGCGAGAAAGCATACTGTCCCATAGACATATCAGCTTTCACAAAGTAAAGGTAATCGTGCTCTGGCAATGGTGAAACTTGCTCTAAGAATTGTTCTTGAGTCATTGTTGGAGGTAATCTTCGTATTACTACCTATAAATATATTTCATTCCTTTTATTATATACATATATAATATATATATGCTGATTAAAATTGAATTAAAATATATAATACTTTATGGTTCTTATAATAATTATAAAAATTTCTACGAGTTATTATCATCATATTAGTCAAATATCTTCTACTTTTTATTCAAAAAATGTGACAGTAAAGATGCCATATGACATGTAACTGTACTTATCATTTTCTACAATAACATTATATTTACTACCGTATGAAACGTATAATCCGCTGTTTCATATCTGAGACAGTATTTTAATTGCAACGTGTCAAATGAATAGCACCTTTTTACAAAATTATGTCAGAAATGTTTCAAAAATTGAAAAGTTAAACTTCGATCTTTGTTCCATTAAACGCAGCGCATGTTGCGTGGTGAGAAAACATATTATGCAGTTCGGTAAATTTGCGGCATCACTTTAATCAGGTATATACCTTTGTCATAGGTCGGCATTTTTCTTTTTTATTGTCTTTAACTTTTCCAACATCTGGAGAGCTAGTTTGTGCCTCATTTTGTGCGGCTGTCTCAGACTGTTGTGTCTCCTCGGTCATTGTCATCTACATTTATTCAATTTCTCAGCAAGTCGGGCTTACTTCGTGTCAATTCCATGCACTCTAATCGAATATAATATTCAAGGCATGCAATTTACCCTCGTGTCATCAAAATAAACGTTTCCGTTTACAAAGTTTTCGCGGCCATCTTGTCTCACTAAGTCATAAAAATGTTATTGGATAGGGGAAAAATAGACTTCCATTCATTAGGGAATTTTTAAATGCAGGCGCGCGCGTTTCACATCTAGGGGATTGAACCATACGCAACGTTTGTTCTTTTGAATTACGATTTATTCGAAATTTCATGCTATATCTATATAAGTATATCTTTCGTTAAAGACAAGATCATAATCGGCGTAGCTTAATTCACACACGTATTTGGTGTTTACAAAATAGTTTATTACAATAACAAAATGATATAATACAATAATTTACAATGGTACAATACAACAAATTGTGTAATTCACAATTTGATGGGATTTAATAAAACGAGACACGATAATGTCTGTCAAAATAAGCATATTAAAGTATAGTAGAAAAGAATGATATAAGTTAATGTATTTACATAAGTGAAGTTTAATTGTTCAATGAAAGTTCACAGCCTTCTGTAGCTATCGCGTTGCTGAGACTGAGATCCTGATGTCAACGTTGAATAAATGAATGGCAAAATTGATGCTAATGCTAAGCAGAGGCCTATTACTGGTCGATACCATACCCAAGCAAAACCAATCACTAGTAAACTAATAGACATCGATACAGACATTGTTAGAGACTCAACTGCGATTATTCCACACAAAAATGTTGAATTTAGGATCACTGTCCTCAATATATTCGCCAAACACGTTGCTGCCAAGAATAAGACTAACCATCCAAGCCCTCTGAAATAATTAAGAATGTTATGAATCACATTTATGATAACAGATTTTACGGAGTCAAGGAATCCTGAGGGTTAAATTATAAAAACGTTACCTGATACTCCATGTACGCCAGTAATTGTGTACATGTTCCAGATGGAACATTTGATCTACAGATATTTTGTGTTTTTGCTGAAGTAAAATCTCTTCTCCGTGGGTTGTAATATATGGTACGATAATTCCTTTTTGTAACATGCCAACTATAGAATACACATCTCCTGCTTTTCCAGCATAGGAGAATTGTATACGTATATCACCTACCTATGAACAAAAAGATCAATCAAATTTAGTTTATCGCTTGCAACAAAGAGCTCTAGAATGCAGTTACATACTTCAGGTTCCCACAAATTAGAGCTGTGGTAATATAAACCAGAGTGCATTTTAATATCTTTACGCTCGGGTCGTTCATCACTGGTAATTTCTACAAAATTATTAAATTTCTTCTTTAATTCAGTCCCAAGAGTGAATGCGCCAATGTTAACTTCATCTGCAATTTGCACTTGGCTTTTAATAGGCATTTCTTTCGGGTTATGATGGCCAGCTCTAATATAGAAATGATCTGAATCAACAAGCTTATCCTTCCATTCTGTTGTGTAATAATAATGCTTCTCTTCTTCTGTTACTCCTCCGAAGCTAATTTACAGAAACAATGAATTATAGAATTATAGTTTATAATGAATAGCGAGAAAAAAAAGAAATGTTTTCCAATGTACCTCCTTTCTTCTTCTATCTCAACCCATTGATACATCTGTACTCTGCGTTTCAGTTTCACACTCGATACAATCACACCATAGTCAGGCTCAGTTAATGGTTCTGATACCTTTAATGGCCCTGATAAATGAATCAAACGTCCTTCATATTCAGGTAATAATTTCATCACGTTTGGAAGTACTGCTACATTGCGTAAAGCTTCGTCCAAAGAATGTGCTACCTTCACGGCTCTTCCCTGTAACATTACACTTTCAAGATACAAACATTTCTATTTAGCTAATGGTGCAAATGTTTACAAACCTCGTTCCAAAACAAAAGGCACATGCCAGTTGCAAACATAATAAGTCCAATAATAGCAGTTAACCATGATTCTCTAAATTGCTCTGAAACTGTCAATGGGATATTTATAGGAGGAGGTTGCCTTCCATTTGCTCGGTTTTGATGAATGGGTTCAGTATTTGCCCTCTGGGGTTGCCCATTTTGCTATAAAACAATTTTTTATATTTTAATTATATCATACAATAAATAAAATGCATAAAATATCACATAACATGTCGTATTAAAAATCAATGGTTATACTTACGTTTGTACGATACATTTTCGCAGATTACATTATATGGCTGTGAAAACTTCCAACTCGGTTGCTGAAATTAAATCACCTAAAATAACATCATTTCATATACGATATGTGTATAATTTTGCACGAGTGTTGGTTCAAACTGTATATACATATTTCGGTCGCGTTTATTATGAATCAGTCTGTTCAAAATTGAACTGATTCAAAATGTTGCTCAATGAATTTTACGCATTGTATAAATCACGTGCATACGCCCGAAAAATTATAATGGCTTCAATCGAAGTCTATTTTGTTGCATACATGCCACGTTAATTCGATAAAAGCTCCCTTCCTTTAACTTCTTGTTGTACAATAAGATCGTTGCGCCCTCGTTTGTTATCTATTGTATTCAATCTTTTTAGTCTTTCTACAGTTTTAGGCCAGTGTTTAGTGTATCGTTCACCGGGTTAGAACTATCAGTGCCATATGTCGTGTGAGTTGTAAAATTTTAGCATAATAAAGTTATTATAATACGTAAATGAAATCGAAATTAATATTATATAGGTAGTTTAAAAATATTATTTATTTAGATGTTATAAGGGAGAGTCAGAATCTTAAAAAAGTTGTAATTGTAATATTATTGAAACTTTGGAAAATAATAATAAATTAGGAAAATCATTTTTATAAATTGTTTACATGTAGAACAGAGTTTCAATGTCAAAAAGGAATAATGTCAATAAATAAAATTACTAATTTATTTTATTTTAGCGTGCAAAGATAATAAAACATTGGTAATATAACGTATTTTTTAGGTAATCTGAAAGGAATGACATGTGACACAAGGAGACGTTGAAATATTGCACAATATAATACAATAAAATCGAAGCAAAACAGGAGGGAGAAGCATGTTATCAATATGAAGTGGATAATAATTTCGTGTATTTTATGTGTGTTTGGTTGTTTCAAAGAGTTTAGACCTTCGGAGTCTTTTGTCACTGATTATTTAACAAACTGGAAAAATTTTACGGACGTTCAAGTAAATATGTTGTGTACGATAATTAGTATTGTAGTTGTAGAAATTAATAAATAAATTATTTATTTTTAAGATTTTACGAATTTTATATTTAATATACTTATGCTTTCTTGTTTTATATTTCTTTATTTATTCTTTCATTTTACTTTTTTATTTTATTCTCCTATTGAATCTTAAACAATGATTGTGGAGTATGCCACTATTGAATTTTACAAGACTATTGTTCTTTTTCAGGTAAATCAAGAAATATTTCCTGTTTCTACTTACTCCTATTTTGCAACATTAATTATTGTATTTTTGATAACTGATTTTGTACGATATAAGCCAATCATTATTTTATGTGGTTTATCAGGAGCTATTACATTTCTTTTAATAGCGCTTGGCCAAGATGTTTTAACTATGCAAATTTTAGAATTCTTCTATGGCTTGTTCCTTTCCACAGAAATAGCTTATTACACATTTATTTATGCTAAAGTTGATAGAAAACATTATCAGGAAGTAACTAGTCATACAAGAGCAGCATCTCTATTTGGTCGTTGTATGGCTGGTATTGTTGCACAATTAACAGTATCTTTGGACATATTGAATTATCATCAATTAAATTACCTTACAATAGGAGGTACCCAGTTTTGTGCATTTATTTAAATATCCATATAAAATAGAAATGATAATTACAGGAAAATCTAAATAATTTCAAGATCAAAATAATATGTAAATCTTTTTTGTAACAATTTAAATATTAGTAGTGGCAAAAATTATTTTCTTGAACTAAATCCTTAAATTTTGAGAAAAACGAATTGCAAATAATTAGATTTAAAATAGATTCATTTTATCATAGATTATTATATCTTTAATGATATATTTTATTTAAAAAATGATGTAAAATATAGTTGCTGAAGTTTATAGTTTGTATGAAATAATTTTCATTTTTCAGCTATTACATTTGCTACAATATGGGCTTGTTTTTTACCTTCAGTTGGTCAGTCCATTTACTTTCATAGAAAAAATGAAATTAATTTTTCTACATATAATGCAACACAAAATGATTTAAATCAAGTATTACATAGTTCTGAACAACCTGAGTATTCTTCCCCTAATATTTCATTAATCCATAAAGTTAAAGACGCTTATATTTTATTGTGGAAAGATTTTTTACAAGCATATTCAAATAATCATGTTGTAAAGTGGTCAATATGGTGGGCATTTTCTACTTGTGGATATTTACAAGTTATTAGTTATATACAGTTATTATGGCAAACTACTGTAGTACCTGGAGATAAAATTTACAATGGAGCTGTAGATGCTTTGTATACAATTATAGGTAAACAAATTATTTTGTATAATATATAACTATTTTGTATTTTGTATAATATATAATCAATATGGTAACATAGTATAGTAAATTGTAATAGTAATATATTGAAATTTTTTTGAATATGCAATAGTTGCATTCAAGTACATATTTTTTAAAACATTTTATATATTTATATAAAATTTTTTTGAATATGCAGTAGTTGCATTCAAGTAGATATTTTCTTAAACATTTTATATATTTATATATAAAATTAAACATTTTATATATGATTAATATAACATCTGTAATATCTGTAATTTCTATTAATAGGTACAATTACTGTATTCTGTATTGGAAAGCTGCCATTTAATTGGTCTTTAATTGGAGATACAATGGTATCATTTATGTCATTTGTGGAAGGTGTTTTATTAGTGGTATCTTCATATAGTTACAGTATTTGGTTGTTATATGCTGCATATATAATATTTGGAATTATTCATCATACAATGGTTACTGTTGCAAGGTTCAGTTAATTATTAAAGTTACTAAATTACTAAAATTATTAAAAATGAAATAATAATTTATATATTTTAATTTTATCTGTATAATTCACAGTTTTGAAATCGCAAAATACATATCGGAAGATAGTTATGGTTTGATATTTGGTGTAAATACTTTCTTTGCACTATTATTACAAAGTATATTAACAGCCATAGTAGTGAATGGAAATTTAAAATTAGATCTGAGATCTCAGGTAAGATTATTATTTGTATGTCAATAAGACTCATAAAAATATATAAAAGCGACTATTAATGACTATTAATTTTGGGAATTATTTGCATCGATATTTTATATTAAAGTATATTAAGAATATACTTTTGGTATCGTTTATCTTATTTCTATATTTATATAATATAGATATTATTTATATCTATATTTGTATAACATAGTATAGTAAACGCCTATTTAATTGTCGTGGATATACATAATATAGCTAAAAAAATTTTCAAACAGTTAGCTTTTTTAAAATTTTTATATTTTTATGAGTTAATTAGATTTCTACTTGATATTGATATTCAAGTGTCTTACATTACACTTTTTTCCAGTATTTTGTTTATGGTGGTTATTATATTGTCATATCCATACTTTATATGATAATAGGCATTTCAAATATTGTACAACATTGTAGGAAGGGTACAGGTTTTAAAATCCTTTTAAAACGGGATCACAATTGAGAATATAAAAGAATTTCCAGAATGATTAGGTTCTAGAAATTAATACAAATTCATTTAGAAATAATTATATTAGACATATATCAAAAATAATCAAAAATAGTTGATCAAATAGATACATTTTTATAATGAATTCAATTTAAAAATAAAATTTTAAAAAATTTTAATATATTTAAAAAAATTCTTATCTATTTTATCCTATTTTTATTATTTATTTTGGTAGAAATTTTTTTTGGATAAGTTTTTATCAATTAAAGAAATTTATCAAGAAATAAGTTTTTATCAATTAAGTCTCAGGGAAAAGATATCATATATTATTGATACATATCTGTATTGTAGAAAGTTTATAGAATACAGTATTATATTTTTAATAATATAAAGTGTTGTGAAACTTGGGTGTTAGTTTGTAAGTTAATTTGCACAATATAAGGGATATAATATAGTACTTTTTGTATGATTTTGTACAAAGTAGAAGATATTAATGTTAATAATTTCCATAAAAATACCTATTATATTTGAGAATTATATTAAAATTTTATTTTTTAATAAACAATCTGTTTACAAGAAATTTTTAACATTTCCCTTCCAATTTTCAATCATTTTTATACTGTGATCCAATTAATATTTTTATTATTCCTCGGTGGTAATTAAAAGTAATCGTACTTTATCCAAAACCGGTTCTCTACATTTCTACAAACATAAAATAATTTTTTTTATTTGTTCCTTCATCTTTTTATTGTTTAAGTTATTGCTTACGAATGAAAACGTTTGAAATAAGCATCTTCCTAACTCTCGACGAGGATTTGCATTCTTGTCAAAATATTTAAATAATTTCCACCAAATTGAACAATCTTGTATACTTTGTTTAAATTCCTTACTGATAGTATCATCCATTGTATCATTTCGTATTATAGATACAATGGATTTCATCGTTTCATCTTGAATGATTTTTGAAAACATGCAAGGATAATTGTTACAATCGTTTATGTGCGACTGTAATTTATCTAATAAAATGGTGTCTTTCAAACAAATTTGTAATATCTATATATAAAAAATAGTAATTAATGTCTATATAAATATAATATTTTAATAAAGTCTATTAATTTAAGTATTTATAAGTATTCATAAATTAATATTTTATATTCAATAAGGAATTTATACAATCAATAATAATTGTATATGTATGTATATTACAAGATGTAATGTAAAAGATGTAAAATTTATTTCAATAGAAATGATCTTTTTCTTGTTGTACGAAGATTGTATATTTTTACCCAGTTTGGAGAAATTAGAACAGGATATATTTTAAATAGACTCATGTTTAATTTATTAGAATATGTATCTGTATCTTGTGCCACCGCCGCATACGATGTTTCAAAAGTATGACCATCAATTAATGATAAGATAAACGACACTGTTACATATCAGCATTATATAAAACTACGATAAGTTGAACAACATTAAGGTTATTTAATCTATATTGAAGGTTGACTTACTGTGATAATATAAAAATATCATGCTCAATAGTTTTATTAACATTGTGAAAATTTGAAAAATATATCAAGGAAGTAGGATAATTGAAAATTACTCTTTGATTATCAGAAATTATTAGCAGAATCTAGTTGAAACTATCTGATTATAGTAAGTAAGTAAATTTATTTAAATTGAAGAAAGCGTTTCACATAGCATTGTTTCACTAGATAATAAATTGTTTCATTGGATAATAAATCTAATATTGTACAGTTTAAATAATCTTAAAGATTAAGGACGAGATAATGTGAGATTAAAAACACTGATGTACATAGGAGAAAAAGAAGTTTTATGAAAGTATATCTGTATACTTAAAACATATTATATTTGGATTTATGCATATGAAATCAATTCCATCAGAATTTAACACGATTATCTAAAAAATATTCTGTTATTTGTAAATCGTTTTGATGAACACTTATCATGGTCATGTTTCATCATTCTTGTATACAAGACTCGTATGATGCGATTAAAAAATTACTACTGCTAAATGTTAAATAATTACTAAATAACATAAAAAAACACATGCAAATAAACAACGTAGAAATTCTGAAGTTGTTGGAAATTCGAACCGATAAAGGAAATAGATCAGCATTTAAAAAGCGATGTTCATGGAATTTAACACGTTGACTGTCACGCGAAACTTTTACGTTTTGTCTATGAAACAAAATATTTAATTTCTATAAGATATTATATTACAGTAAGGTACAACGAAAGCACATTTCTCGCTTTGTAATATTATCTAGTCTATCTATTCATTGTCAATGATATTCATCTCATTATAATTATATTTATCTCATTCTAAAATATTCTAAAATATTTATCAAAATAGAAACGACAGTCACTAGTAATCATCGTAGCAGTCAACACGTTAAATGATTGTTTAGTTCCATTTGTCGTTTTTTAAATTATTCTATTCATGCGATGAGAACAATTTTGAGATTAAAGACGAAGATTGAAACAAAGACACGAGGTTTTATTATATTAATTTTTGGATTGCACCGAGTACAACAAATTCACAAGCTTTTGCAGCCTGTTGCGTCAAGCATAAACCTATTTCTTGAAGGCGAGATAATTCTGCTCGATCATCAGTTAAAGGATATTCTTCTAAATTGTTGGCAGGTTTTTTCGCCATGGTTAAACGCAATCGGTTAAGCTCTATTTCTTCCTTCGGACTTAAAATTTCTAGAAAATTGATTTATTATACACGTATAATCACAAACATTAAGATTTTCTATGTTTTAAGATTTTTTTTTTGTTTTGCTTAAAAAGAAAAAAACTAATTCGCTTTCTTTTCTTAAAATGTTGGAAATCATTGTATGAGGTGAATTAACACGATGAATCTTTGAATGAATCTTTTTTTTAAGTTGCACTATTTATAGTTATAAAATTATTTATGATATACATTACTGTTGCTATTATTGCTATTATTTTTTACTACTACTTATTTATGATTTATTTATAATTGTTTATGCTAATATTGCGATATTTATGCTAATACTATATTTATATTACTTATAAATATAATTATAAATATATTATATTATATATAATATATTGTATATATAATATATTATATTATATTATATTATATTATTATATAATTATATTACTTATAAATATAATTTATATTACTTATATAAATATCATACTTTTACTTTCAAGTTCTGTAATCTTGTTTGACAAATTCTTTCGAATGGCTTGTACTTTTTTGGCGGCTCGTCTCTTTTTCGTTATTTCCTCATCGCGTTCCTCTTTCTTTTTCCTTCTCAAATTCTTCTTTTTTTTCCTCGAAGCCCGTGATTCTTTATACTTTTTCGAGAATCTCTTTTCTCTATTCTTCACCTTTAGTAAGAGTAAACATTAAGTGAAGATATGGATAAGTTTTTGATTAACTTACGCGAACGTTTAATTTCATGCGAATTAATCTTTTATTTTGATCTTGTTTGTATTTCTGCCAGAGTTTTCCACAAATTTCGGCCGCACGAAGCAATTTTAATCTCAGCTCGTTGTTGGAAAGATTGTGAAATAACGAAACGATTTTTCCAATGTTGAAATCATCCTGCCCTCCACCCTAGTCAGTATAATTAGTATAATTAATTATAATTATATGAAGTTATAATTTCGTGAAGTATCTAGTGATTAATGATCTTTAGTTACTATTTACACTTTTTTAAATTTTAGTAAATTTTCTTTTCTTTTTAATTTTTATTAAAACATATATAAATATCTTCATACTGTTTTACATAAGATAAGAATACTTATAAATTATTTTTAATTCGAGTACGTTCTTTCTTTTTTTTTTTAGCATTTAATTTAATTTTTAAATACTGATAATCAACAATTTTGTTTGAGAGTTAAATGATGAATACATATTTTTACCAATTCGATAAACGTGCAATCCCAATCTATTCCACCGTATTGGCATCGGGTTTTTGCTTTTTCAACATCTTCAGAAATCTCGGTGTATTTCATACAATATGCAAGCACCCAATTTCGAGGTATATCGATCACAGGTAAGATTCTCCAAACTTTAGCCGTGATGTCATCTAACATCTTCAACGAGGTGCTATCGGTGATGGTTGGTATTTTTGTGATTGATAAATCGGGAAAAACTGTCGTTTCGGTAGTATTTTCATAATACTGAAGCAAAATTACGAACCTCGATAAAATTTTCAATTTTATTTATTACAGTGAAGAGCAATAATTATCCATAATAATTTTCATCGTTAATAATACATTTATGCTCTTCGCTGTACAGATACTAAAAAAAGGTTTTAGCATTATCATTGAATGTCAAAAATATTTGTTAATTATGAAAATATGCAAAGAATGCTAACTTGTAGTTTTTTCAGATGCTTGTTGCTTGTAGATTTAGAGATGATGATGCATCCGATTATTATTATGTGTCTTAGCATGGAACAATAGAGTCTTTATAAAATAATTTTCTTCGAACGTGACGCAGATGAGACATTATAACAAACTGCAGATGTTGATCCGATATCTACAAAAAGTATTTAACAATTAGTTTCATTTAAATTAAATATTTACAAGCGACAGTTACAAATTTATCATTTATATTGCGTAATGTTATTAATTAATAATGAATTGTAATTCTCTAGTATCGGTAAGTTTCACTTTTCACACAAATTATGAAAAAATTTTAGAAACTAATTTCTTGATCATACCTTACTTAATTTATAAATAAATATAATAATTTGTAAAAATGATAACCATCGACAATTTATAAAAATGACCTCAAATAAAAATCATTCACATCAGTTATATTCTAACTTTATAAATGTTACTAGGTTACAAATTATCTATTTTTAAAAGTTGCAAAGATATATATATATGTACAAAGCTCTTGAATTCAGTCAGTTATCGATAATTTGTACATATAATGTTAAATCTTCTTGGTGGCAGTAAGAATCGGTATAATTGCCAAGAAAAAAAAAATCAAAAAAAAAAGAAGGAAGAAATCACAAAAATTATTCTATTGAATTGTAATTTTATTGAGATAATCTCTACTGCTGCTTCTGACGATGGAAGGTGTAATTTATAGCCTGATAATTGCAAGAAAATCAGAGGAATAGCAACAGTAAGATTTATGGTATCCAGAGAATTGCTTTTCCTAATTATTTTATGATTGTTTAAATGATTCTAACTATTCTAATAATACAAACTAGACAAAATGTTACACGACCATATAATTATTATTATATACAATACATAGCTATATAACTATAATTAATGTATATATACTAATGTATATAATATAACTATAATTAACGTGGAGGACAAAATGATCTGAATATTTTATATTATTTGAATAGTACGAAAATTTGATTCATTGTCGTATTTGCAAAGCTAACATCCTCGTCTTCAATTTTCATCGAAAGAAATCAAAACAACGAAAACTATATTCACGAATTGCGGAATTAATGGCGTCGTTTCCGGGGATATTGTAACTGCTGACTGTACAAGATCAATAGATTAATAAAACGATGATTGTTATGAAAAGAAAATAAAGAAGAGAATATAATAGTTTCATTGCTAGTTTAAACACTAGTCATTGATAACTGTCGGGATTTCCCACGTATATTTCATTGGCTATTTCTTTTCAGCTGTAATTGAGGCTACGTTTTCATTGAGGAATGTCCAGTTTCCTGCAAATAAATTATCCTAATATTATTATTACTACTACTACTAATAATAAATATCATAATTATTTGTTCTCTATTTAGTATTAATAAATTGGAACGTAATACCAGTGAATGAGAATAACTCAGTTTGAGTTGAGAAAAATGAGACATTAGTTCTTGAAGAGGAAGTCTTTGATTATTGTGGAAGATATTCGTGAGAAATTTACAAGTAAATCGGCCACGACTGTTTTGTACTCTATAGCTACTGATTACGTAGTTTTGTGTTTGTAGATTATAGTAGAAATTTATCTAAAATCGAGGATAAACAGTTTATACAATTGAAATCCATCAATTTTTTCAGTATTTGTTATTTTTTAATTACTTAACAGTAGAATTACCAGAGTTAGAATAGTTACTTCGTAATTTTCCATTTAGTATAGAAATTTTATAGTTATATGAATTTTATAATAGTTCAGGTTTGTGAAAATTCGTTGTATTTTATAAAAGAGTAAAATTTCTGTCTTTTTTTGTTGAATAGCATAATATAATTTAACTATATTGCATTATATAAATAAAAAATGTAACGTGCTTCATATGGAAACAAATATTCATAATATTTGAAGTTTTTAAAATAGTTGGAAAGTAGAAACAGTTTTATAATTAAATTAGACATCTCTTATCGTTCTCGATGATCAGAAAATACAGAGTGTAATAACCGTATGTCAGAATTTTTATAATGCTCCGTATCAGGGAATGACACTGATACTGCGATTTATTGATTTTTTACTGATACGTGAGAATAGAAGTAACAATGAACGTGAACAATAACGTGCGTCATATTATTGTCATTTTATCTTTTGTCTCTCTCACATTTTATATGATATAAATATCATATAAAAATAAATGAAAATCATACAATTATAAATGATCATCTAAATGATCTCCGTTGAATATTCATTAAAGTCATAGTTTTATTCCTTCGATATCTTTTAAAAATGAAAGGAATGAACAAAAAAATTATAACTTTAATGACTGAATTATATAAATCTTCGATCGAACCAACATTATCGTGACTTTTTTATTTCATAATCTCTTCAAATTCTATAAATCTCTTTAAATTGTGATTGTATATGATTTTGTATTATATAATACAACGCAGAGCTTTATTTTTCAGTTCGTTACGCTTAATTAGCGAATGCATTATGAAATGAAACTGCGGAATTTCCAGTTCTTCTTTAATGATTAAATCATGCATCACGAGTTGATATCGTTTAATTCTTTCAACAAGTTTCATGATAGATCTGTTGATTATTTTTGTTGTAGTATTTGACCCTTAAATTATATCAATTTAGATATACCATGTACAGACTATGTAAGTCCTTTCGTTTCGCTTTCACTGGCTGTCGGCCAACGTTGTGAAAAGAAGCTCGTTTTATTCGCTGAATAAATTCCAAAAGGAAGAGAAGAAAAGAAAATTTCAAAACATGCCGTCTGATTCATTTTCAAATGTTGTTGAACTTATGATGACTGAAGATATTCGAAGCATTTTATTCTGCAACAAGCAAATATTCCAAAAGTTAGTGCGGTAATTCTTAGTCAGCATTTTTGAGAAGACTCTCTTTCTGCGCAAATTTTCATTTAGGAATTTTAAGAATGTAAACGTAGAAATTTAATTTTTTTTGTTAAATCTGAAATGAAATTTTTGGTACCCAACATGATAGAGTTAGAAAATTTATACTTTTATGTCTTTTTAAATCAAACATAATTTTTCATCGGTTAAGAAATAGGCATTATAGTTGATTCATAAATATTTCAACTTTGTTAAACACTAAAAATTTAATTTTCTATGGAAATCAAAACGAAAGTACAAAGTTTACCGTATTAAATATCGAAAATTTAATTTTGTGTAGAGATCAAAAATTTGATATAACAAAGTTATATCAAGTAATGTATTGCATCGTTTTCAAAATAAAAGGATAATTGATTTAATAAAGACTCGTACGATACTAATCGATACTAATTTGCGATTCTGCGAAACCAAATGGAAAAATTCTTGATGTGGTGTATCAAACACTTTAAATGGTATCGATGAAAGAAGCTATTACTGATGAAAACAAAAAAGATGAATGAGTTCTTGTAATGAATTGTTTTTGCCCCGACTGGAGCCGATGAAGCGAAAATATCTTTCTTGTGACGTTTGTTCATTGTTTCTTAGTTTACTGTAGTTTGAGAATTATTCTTTCAGAATCATTATCTCTATTTCTAGAGTAAGAACTACGAAGATATACTTTTCCCTCGTTTCGCTTGAATTTGTTACAATTTGACTTTGATTTACACCGCAAGTATGACGATATGCTTTTCAGACATATTCGAAAGTTTATTAACCCTAACGAATCAACTATACGTGTACTAAGAAACAATATATACGTATATGTACGTAGTGAATTGTATCAACGCTTTTCGATTCCAATGACGTATTTCTCCCCACCGATTGCATGTGGGATTTCCTGACATTGAAGCCATTACAACCGGGCATTTCCAACATCGTAGATGTAGACAACCTATCGGACTTTGTAAACGTCGACGACTGACCCGCTGAAGAGGATTTGTGTTCAATGAACAAATATGACACTCACTTGCGAACAAAACTCGTGGTGGGGAAGTGGTTGTGGAGCCAGTTACTCGCGACTCGCGGGCATCTTGGAGACTCTGCTTTTCCTCTTCTGCACTCAGTTTGGTATCGTAGCGAGTAACTATCAGACGTCATTTTTTCGTGTCTTTCACGATTTCAGACTCTGAAGAAAAGGGACGCACTTGCAGATCAGCGAAATGTTTTACAAACTGGTGAGTGACGATCCTTTGGTCATGATGAATGACGTAGATTGAACGTAGTACATCGTTTAGTCGCATTAGCTTTATTTTTGTGATGAGATGCTGAGTTTTGATAGAAATTGTATTGTTGATGCTTTGGTAGTGGATCTTATCCTAAAATAAAATTATTTATTAGTACGTTTGCAATGAAATTTTCTTTTTAATTTAATATTTAATGTTCCAATGAGTAATGTTAAGTTAGTATAAGTTGATTAACACCGATAGTGTGTAAAATATATTTTCTATTATTTTATTATTGCAAGTAAAAGTCGAACAACTTGCTAGTTTCCTTTTCGAAATAAAAAGAATTAAATATAATCTCAGGCATTTTACGCGAATATTCTACATATACTAAATCAGTTAGAACAACATTCGATATATGACCCGTTGCTTTCTGAGTAATGAAAAGTTCAACTCTGATAACTTATCTTGTTGTATATATACATTTTTCTCACCTTTCATTGTTTCTTTCCATATTCAATATCGATTTAATATTAACCCTGCTGTTCTCATCATAACTCATTTTTCCATCACGTCCTATCTCTTCAGATATCTTTCTTTTTTTGTGATACTTTATTTATAAGATGCTTGGAACATACGAAAGATTGTAAAATTATATTGAATGTTAAAATCAAATATTTAAGAACTATATGTGTTTAGTATAGATACGGAGAGAATAGCAGAGTTAACTCACAGTAATATTCTACCAAGTATTTTTCAAATATTCTCAGTAATATTCTATCAAACATTTTTCAAAATCAGATTTTCATGAATCAGATATTTTTATTTATATATATATTATGCTTATTTGGGTAATTATTTATCTTGAATCTCATTAATCTTTTCACACTATTAATACTTAGTAGTATTATATTTGAGTTTTTCATATCGAAGTGAAATATCCTTTGCTTTGTTTGATCAGCCTTCCTCGGACCATGAAGGACACGCTTTAATCAACATTTCTACTTATTTTTATTATATAAAGAAAAATCATAAGAATCCATTGACTAAAACGTTCCCAAGGAATGTCGGTACACTCATTCTTATATCATTTTTCAATCGATGAATTGATTTTAATTCGACTTTGTATATAGTTGCGCTGCTTAGCGGTTGATTACACGCATAGTACGTGCTTTATTTATTAAGTTGGACACGTATACGATTGAAGAATTCACTTGTTATTCATTGAATATCTCTGTCGGCATTGTCAGATTTTAAATGTGACTTCATGAATTTTGGTACTGTTAAAAATCACATTATTTCGAAGTTTCTGTAAATAAAAGATTTTAGTAAAATAACAAACTATTATTTTATCAGGATCATTTTGTACAATTGCAAGTTACAAGTATTAATAAACGTATTTATAATAATTGTTGCGAATATTTATATATAAATTTTGTATTTTTATAAGTGTGATTAAGGAAGCAGAATTGTTTCTAGAAAATGAGAAAATAAAGAAATGAAACTTAAGCAGAGAACTGTTTCATTCATTAAATGCTATTATCTTTTTACATTATATACCTACATTCTATATATTTTTGTAGTTCTAAATTTATCACATCATCCCGTGATCTAATAATAATTAAATAATTTCCATTGTTGTTGTCCAAAAATATTTCTACTAAGGAAGAGCACAAATTTCAAAGATAATAAGCTACATTGACAGAAAGCTAAAGAAAAAAAATATAAAGTAACAATAAATACTTAGATATCAAAACTTAGAAGCAAAAGTAGTAGACGGGAGGAAATCTCGAGAGGTATAAAATAGAAATTATACGATATCATTTCCATAAATTGTGGAGCATTTCGTCCCGGGGAATGTATGATGAAGACGTAGACGTAGAGCGAAACAGGTGAAATTGAAGGTTGTCAAAATGAGGAACTGGAAAGTTGCATAGGAAATTACGTAAAATCGGTATTAGCATTTGCATAAGGCAAAATTAAAATGGAATAATTCAAACGAGTTTCCCACGTGCTTGAGGTGATATAGCAACAGGAACAAATTGTAGAGGCGTGGTTATGTTTTCTCTTGCTTTCGTCATACGAGGCTCGTCATACTTTAATTTCAGCTAAGAAAGCCGGACTCTATGATGTCACGGTTTGCTCGTTGCTTTCACTCACGTTTGCCTCTCTTTCGTCCCAGATTGTACAATTTTCACTCATTCTCTCATTACGTTTCGGGTATATTCCACAGAATATTCTTTTATGTTTATTTTTACACGTATTTAAAGTAAAAAGTTGCTCATTGTCGTTGACTATATTGTACTTTCTATTTTGTACGTTCTTTGGTCATTCTTCCGGGGGGCTGCTGAATTTTTCCTGAGAAAAAATATTGACACTGGAAATAGATTTAATTTCTTAATACTATAAAAGAAATATTGCAATTTAAACTTATATTAAATATAACAATTTAAATTTAGAAATATAGAGTATTTGCTGAATGGATAGGTATTAAAAAAATAATAGTAGTGAAAACATTTCCAAGAAAGAAAATATAATATATATAAAATTTTAACGTATTTATTTTTATATTCTTTTGCACTAGATCATTATTATGAGTCACAAAACAATCACATTTAACGAGCTGTTAAATAAAAAATTAAAAATATCAGTAAAACAATTATTTATTAAATATATAAAACAATTATTATTAGACATGTACTATTACTTGAAAATGTTTTCACTACTATTATCATGTTTGCTCTTCAAATATTAATAAAATACCTACTCATTCAGTAATATATTTACTCTGTTTCTATACTTG